TAGCCCTCTGCAGCCTTGCAGCAAAACCTCAGTGCAGGCTCTGCCCGACTCCTTTAGCAAGAGGTAGGCCCCAAGTCTCAAGGTTTGTAGCAGAACATCTCCAGAGCTTAGGCAGCAGAAAACACAGATCAGATCTCAGCTCAACAGTGACACAGGCAGGTGTCAGTGCATGGCCCCAGCGCAGCCTAAGTCCAAATGGCTCAGTCTCACACTGTGCCTTGGCCGAGTTATGAAATATCTAGAGAATGCTGCACCATGAGCTTCGGCCAAGCAGCACACAGCAACTTGGCACGAGATGGAGCATGGACAGATCCCAGGCCAAGGTCTGGGCACAGTGTTGCTGTACATGTGCTACTTTAGGTTCAGGTCCTTTCCAACCCAAACAGACATATTAGCACTTAATTAATTGCAGAGTCAAGCTAGGTTTATCTGTACTTATTTTGCTAGAAAGACTCACACGGGATGCATGCTAGGGCCAGAATCCATGTCACCGCCCCAGTGAAAATCCAAAGAAATACCACTGATTTTAGTGCAGTTAATGTAGATTTGTGCAGTGTAAACCTTTAAACCTAGTTCAGGCAATGCCCTTGCACAGGTCACTGTTACTACTACGTTTACTTGACAGAGGCAGCAGACCGATGAAGCAAGGCTGTTGAAGGTTACAAAACCACCCTCCTAGACAGAGGCTGCAAGATGTGGCCCACAGATAAAAATGTAAAAGGCTGGTGTGTTTCTCTTCCACTTTCTTTATGGCTAGTCTGCTAGTAAGAGGAGAAAACAAAAACAATAAAAAAACCCACCCAACAGAAAGCACTAACAGTGAATCATTTTCCTCCCCTCTTGAGACCTTTCTTATCTATGAAAATCAATAGGCTTGGCAACAGTAGCAATGATTTATTGAGCCACACCTCTACTCCATTACTTACCTGTGGCTGAGAGGCCAGATTCATCTTATAAGGATGTGTCTTTCCCTCCTCATTTACAAGTGGTGACCAGACTTTTGACTCCGTCCTGCAACACACAAATTCTGAATAGTTAATCTGTTTTCATCACTGAGCATCATTATTGCTATTAAAAGACTTCGAGTTCATCAATGTCCCAAACATTTCCGCAGTCTTTTGTATATAGCACTATCCACATCAGGAGGAATCTAGACAGCCTCTTTTTAGGCATGTAACTTGGATGACTTGGTCATGTTATATGAGGTCCCTGGAGAAAGACAGCATCTCAGCAGTGACTGTCCTGGCTTATCCTTTGGGACTCCACTGGCAACATATCAAGCATGGGTTCCAACCCAGGCAGTAGAGTTGGGGGTCACCCAACAGCAGAAGCTGGAGATGTCCCTTAGATGCACATCCCTTAATTAAGTGGGACAATTCAGATTACTGTGTGTTTTAGCTTTTATGGATACCCAGGAAGAGGAATGATTCTTGTCTGTATTGACCATACAGAGAACATTTTGTTCTCGAAGTTGGGCTGCCTTGGATAAGCTAAAAATAGTTTTTGGTTTGGGTCTCCGGAATTTTCTTCTTATTTATACAGTGGTATCCATGCTGAACAAACAGAGGTTTTTGGGAATTATGAAAAAAAAACAAAAACAAAAACAACAACAAAAAAAACCCCAAACGGGTTCAAGTCTGCAATGGGACTAAGAACTGAGATGACATAATGTGTCAGAGAAAGTCTGCATAACCTTTACTGGTCTGTGGTCTGACCCAATTACTCACAGCAGCCTGAAACACAAGCCAAGATCTGTGACCAAAACCAAACACTTTTACCATCATCATTCTGGAGTTTTGCTACGTCCCAAAGAACAAGAAACAAACAAGTGGTGAGGAAGAAGTAGAGTGCTTAGATTTGCTTGAGATACTTTGTGGGAAACATATGCTACCTGTATTTCTCAGAGGTACAGTCAGTAGTTAGCATCTCAGATGGACTAAATAGTGCCACTTTTCCCAAACTTTTTAATAGTAGGGAACGAGTGGCTGCAGTATTGCTGAATGAAAACTGTTGTTCAATGGTAAACACTGCATCATTCAGCAACCAGATGGCTGATAAACTCTTAGGATGAGTTTTGAAAACCATGTCCCCTTTTGACAGGAGCTCTTTATAGAATCTGCAACTGCAGATAGATGTACTTCCCAGCTATTTGTGGGTCCAGGGCCAACTACAATTTAAGTACTTAGTTAGCAAAACAGGAACACTTCCACTGAGAATTAACTGGATAACTAGAAAGAGACTTTAAACAGAAAATGCTTATAAAACTGACAAGGATGGAGAATCAGAGTGTAGAGCTACCCACGATACATTCAACCTGGTCTACCCGATTCTCCTAAAAGCCCTCCAATGTCACGACATTTTTTAAACAGCCCAAACTTAACTGTGATGCACATGTATATCACAGACATTTGCTGCATAAATAGTATTTTACTACTTACATTCAGAAGGTAGCTCAGTGGGAGGAGATGGGAGGCAGCATTCTCATTCAGGGAAGAGAAGAAATTTTATTGACCTGCTATTGCATCTGTTACACTCTGGACTTCACACGGAAGAAACCTGAATTAAGTCTGCTGTGCTGTACCTCGTTTCATAGGGAAGTACAAAGATACAGGTCACACCAGAAATCATCCTTTACAAGCATTCAGGTACAGCAAACCTTTGACTCCAGGCTATAGCACCTTGTGGGCTCAGCTGCAGCTACACCTGACAACCTACATCATTCAAATCCCAGCGTCTGGAGAGCTGGGGCACTCACAGACTAACAAATATGAATGTAACAGCTGCATGGGATCAGATCTATGCCAGTCTGATCATTATCTTGTCTCAACAGCTGCCATTACTGGATGCACAGCATACCCCAGGTGAGTATAAAACAGCCATTCCCTCCTTGCTTCTGGCAACCTGTGCTTTAAGGTGCCTAAGGAACCAGTGATTTTATCCAGATTATGGCTATCAAGCCTGATAAAGTCACAGCCACCTCTAGGATGGCTGTATTTTGCACTTGAAGACCATGTTTGCAAAGGGGAGCAGCCTGTTGACCAATGCAAAGCCTTATTCCTTGAAAGTGTTTGGAGACCATGTGTAACCAAGTTTCATCTCTGGAACAACAGGGGACACAGCACAGTATATGGAAATCAAATACCCTGCCAGCTGAGCTGTTAGCAGGTGGACATCGGCTGAAGATGAAAGAGCAGTTCAGAAAGCATTAAACACTTCAGCTGATTTCTAGCATGAGGCATCCCTGTGCCAGTTCTCACTAGCAGTGATCTAAGTACTTTTGAGGTAGCATTTTTTTTTGCAGCAGCAGCTTAATATTATTGGATTTTAGAAGCACCAAAATGCCGTATTCAGAGTGAAAATTTAAGCTTAGAGCAGGCCAATATATGAATACAGAACAGAAACCTCCCCCCAGCACCCCGGTCACTTGCTTTCACCCCACGCCCCTCACTCAATGCATTTGAGGTGACACAGCACCTTGGTCTCCACCTATGGCTAACTACTGCAGCCAATGGGGTTTTCTGACCAAATTTTTCTCCCTTATTTATTAGCAAGGCAAAAAGCACAAGTTTGTTTCCCAGCCTACTGCCATTCTGATCTGTCACTGGATATAAATGGAAGCAGCAAGGTCACTCCAGGCTTTACTTTCCATCCAGTTTAAAAGTTATCCAAACAGAAAGGTTAAATAGCCAGCATGGTTGTCCCTCTAAGGCTGGGAGGATAAAGCTTCCTTTTGTCTTCACAACAGCTGCAGCAGAGCCCTTCAGCTACTTTCAACGGCCCATTTATGGCCCCAGCAAAGCTGCAAAAAGAAAGCTTTGCTCCCACTGGCTTTGCGTAGCAAGGCTTTCAATGCACATGTCCCACCCCACCACGCTTCCTGTGGAGCCCACGGTCTGCAGGTCATCAGTGGGACTGGTATGGTCCCAGCTCTCAGCAAGGGTTTCCTGGCTCTGCTCCTGGTGTCACTGCCTGCATCTTTACTGAAGTGTGGCAGAAGAAAGAAAAATAGCACATAAAAGTTCACCTTATGTCCCACTGCTGGCCCAGGACTTACTTTCTGAAAGACTGGGAAGTGTGGGAACAAAACACGGATGACAGGGTGAATTGGTTAGACTCGTAATGTTTGTATCCTATCTATATGTTTTGATATCTTGTTTATATGAAGCAGGGAACAGGAATCAGAGCAGATAGCCCAAACACAGCCTCAGCAACGGTGCCTTCAGTGCACAGCAGGCTGGTTTTGGTAGAACTGTAGTGGCTTTCTGGAGGATTTTCTTCAGATCTGGAGGAGAGCCACAAAACTGCCTGCACCCTCCCCTTGGTGAGGCAGTACCCCTGCCACAGAGTGTGGCCACTCTGGCAGGGCTGTCAGACCTGCCTCTCCACCAGTGGCGGAGCTGGATGTCCAACAGCCTGCTGAGGAATCACACCCTGTCTTCAGTGAAAGCCAGCAGGCTTCAGCATCCCCATAGGATCTCACAGACTGCTGCTTAAATCGATGATTAGTTATTTTAGAATATAGTTTCTAATGCATATTCTTTCAAATGAGAGTCCAGCAGAGAGCAACACTCAATAGTGCAGAAATACAAGACAAAACTATGACACCATGAACAAATGCCAGGCAAATTAATCGCAGGCACGTGGATATACAAACTCCGTCATGTTTGCAGTTTACATTTCCATGCTGCTTCCTTACTACAAGAGCAATCAAGACAGGGCCAGGGAACAAGCTATGCATTTCCTGTTTCATCCAGGCAAAACCCAAGAAATTTCTCTGATGCTAGTTTGGATGGGGAGGAACTGGCAGGAAGGGGAGGAAGGAAACTGCGTGCAAGTCAAGGCAGGAATCTGGAGAGGTATTTACAAAATACAACATTTTTCAAGAAGCTTGGATTGACCATGTTATAATATAAACATTACAAGAGCCTAGATTTTGCTATTAATGGTTTGCACGCAGAGCTGGGACACAGCTTTGAGGGAAAATTCAGAGCTGGAAAATGAGGGTCTAATTCTGTGCCAGAAGATGTGTAAGTAAGTTGTGTAAAGGCAACAGGCACATTTACATTCCCATTTCAATCACTGGGATGGAAACAAGTAAGATACCAAAGTAGCAACTAAGCCCATAAAGATAGAGAAGCTCCTTGTGCAACACAAAGTTTGCTAGCTGAAAAATGAGGAAAGATCTAAAGAATTTCTCTTTCAACCCGCCCACGAGTTTTAGACAGGCATTTTAATAATGTTTAGAGACTTAACTACAAGAGCTTTCAGGCTACCAGGAAGGCACCTTTTAATCAGACTTTTAGCTAAAACAGCTGCAAAGTACATGCCCTTGGATTTAAACAGGAGCAGTCACTTTTAGCAACCATCCATTAATGGTCATACTCACTTTGGCAAGCACAACTGTACTTGGGCTGCAGCAGCCTACTGCCAATTCAAACAGCATGGCTAGTCAGAACTTCCTAGAGACAAGAGGCCCCAAATTAATTTCTTCACACATGGCCCTCTGCTCCTTGTATTTCAGGTGTCCTTCATACAACCATAAAATACAAAAGGGCAACTCCAGCTGCACAGAAGAAGCAACAGAAGTTTATCTCAAGCAGTTTCATTACAGAGTTAGAAAGGATAAAACACACCTGACTGCTCACTCGCATGTTCTTCCACCAGCCAGCTACAGTTAGCTACTTTTGCCTTGCCAAAGAGGTTGTAAAAACACAACAAATGCCAAGCTTGACTTGCCAAAATGACTTCGAACATGCCAATCATTAATAAAAGCTGCTGGCATGCACCCAGGAGTGCTGGGAGCACCACACCAGCCATGGAGATGTTGTGAGTTGCTGTGCAGGGCCAGGCAATCTGCATGCCCTTATATAGATGCACACAGAGCATCAGGCTTTTCCAGGGCCAAAAGAATTATTAGTAAGATGACAGAGCTGGAAAACTCTTCTTGGCAGGGAAGCAAAAAGTAAACCTAAATGAGTCAACAGATTCCACCAACTTCCTAGAACACAAATTTGAGCCTATTGTGGCTTTGTGCAACTAGTCTCCACAGCTGAGACCTGGGAACATGTGGAGCAAGCAAGAGTGCAACTGAATCCACCGAATAAAACGCAAATGACTTCACTCACATGATCTCTTCTTCTTCATAAGCATCTACACACGATCCTTTCTGACAATGCATTTAACATGTGCTGGTAGCAGATCTGACTTCCTTGATCCTAGCACTTTTCAAAGAACAAATATATAGCTTCATTCCTTGGCATCACTTTTAGCAAAACAACAGAGTGTTTTGCAAACAAAAAAGGTGCATTAATATATTATGTACTGGTAGCAGAGCTGCAGAAAAGCAGCTTGAATGAGAAGGAAAGGACAGTAGGAGCAGAACAAGAGATTACATGTTTGCAAGCCCTTTTCACAAATATTCTTATTACCACCCCCAACCTGCCTCCAGATGTAGAGGGAAGGACAGACTCACTGTAGGAACACTTCTTTTTTATTGAAAAAAGCCATATAAATACACACTTTACCTTTGAGTTGCTCAGGACTACATATGAGCACAGTTCCACCACCCATTTGGTGACTAAAGCCACCACGGCAAAATGCCATTTGTTTTAGAAATAGATTTTCACCTCTGCTGCAATGAATATTTGTCTGCTTTTGTGCAGCTACAGCTACACAGAGCTGTGTGTCAAATTCATCACTGACATCGGTGATGCCTGGATCTTTTGACTATCAGGTGAATTTTGTGGTAGAATTTGTTCCTTCTGAGCCTTCCCTTCTTCGAGTGCTCTTTGTCAGAGCAAGCGTCTTTCCCAAAATACACTGTTTCCCAAGGAAGCTGATTGCTTTCTCCAGTCTGTTGGGCACTTCTTGCTGCTTACCCCCATTAAAGATAAATTAGAGGTGTGCTTGGAATGCATGCATCCTGGGGTGAGGCTTTGCCTGACCCTAAAATGTCAGTGCAACAATGCACACACCCTAACTGAAAGAAAAGAAGAGCAGCTCTTCTCAAAGATTCAAGATCCAAAACTTAACTTTTCCTATGAATGGCAGAGGTTGCCTGTGAAATTTCTCAGTTTAGCAACTAGGTGGTTTTGAGTTGACTGCAGCACACTGTCTGCTGTAAGTCAGTCTTTCTGCACGTACCATACAAAACCATGGTGCTGAGCTTGATTTCATATTGCTGAAGACAATAATGGAACCTTTACTTTGGTTTCTTGGGAACTACATTTCTAAAAGCACCCTCTAGCCTGAAACAAAAAGCAATATGAATGAACAAACACAGTCTCAGGAA